AGGATATTTTTGAGATTTAAACACATTGAGTTGAAGAAAAATAAAATTGAAATCCTAATTCAAAGACCTACTAGATTTCAACAACTACCCTCTAGGTTAAGGGATTTTTAGGTGATATCTGACACGAATATTAATATTTATGGAGATTTGGTTCATTATACCATCTTTCCAGATTGTGATCTCGATAGATTTGAAAAATCAATGAAACATGAAAGATGAATTATTGCAGTTAAGGAAGAAAATTAAGGAACTTGAAAAATTAATGCATAGAAGTTGATTAATATTCTTCCGAAAAAGAAAGCTATTGAAGTGAAGATGGTTTTTAAACTCAAAAGGTAGCCAAAATTGTGTGGTGGAAAGATATAAGGTACGACTGATATCAAAGGGCTACGAGCAACAGGCTGGAATGGGTTGCAGATGCTTGAATAGAAACTGTGAAATTAAATGGTTATTTTGCTGCACAGATTATTTTGAAAATCATCGCATAGGCCTGAAATAAACTTTTCTAAATTGGCCTCTTGATGAAGTGTATGTCAAGCAACAAAAAGGTTTTATTTAAAGGAGTGAAAGAGGGTTATCGGCATAAGGAGGCTTTGTATGGTCTCAAACAAGCTACCTGTGCTTGCAACAAGGGATTGATGCTTTTCTGAAGAAAGTTGGGTTTGAAAAATCTTCTAAACTTCTACTTAACATGTACTCTTCATAAAGAAGGATATAAATCATATTTTAATAGTATGTTTTTGATGATATTATGTTCACCGGAAATAATCATTCTGTGATTGAGGAATTCAAGCTTGTTATGAAGCCTAAGTTTGAAATGATAGATCTTATATCTTGGTGTCTTATTATCTTTGAATTGAATTAATTCAAGGTACAAATGAGTTTTTATGTCAGAAAAGGTATTCTACCGAAACCTTGAAGATGCTTAGAATGCTTGAATGCAATCTTGTGTAAAACCCAATTGATGCTACATGAAGCTATCTAAAAAAGGCGCAGGATCTGCAATTGATTCAACTGAATTTAGAAGTATAGTTGGAAGTTTGAGTTATCATATACCAGATCTGATATTGCTTTTGTCTTGTGTATCTATTTGAAGTTACATTGTGATTGTCAAGAAATTCTTGGTATCATTGAGAATGGAATTTGTGAGAGGAGAACATGAGCAAAAGCAAGATAAAGCATTTTTAGATGCCAATGAAAAAAGGAATTGTAAGGCTTTGTTTTATTCACCAAGTAGTTAATGATGTTGCTTTTTAAAAGATTGCAGGTGCTAACACAACAAAGCAAGCTTGGGCTTCTTTGAACGAATATTCAAAGGTGTGGAAAGTGTGCAGAGAGTTAGACTGCAAAGTCTATTAATGGGGGTTGTGGCGTGCACTTTTGAATTGTGAAAATGTTTAAATCTCTATCTCCCCTAAACAATATTTAGGTTCCACTTAATATACGCAATCATACGTGTTGAATCAAATAATAAAGTGATAGAGTAGAGTATCGAACCCACGAGGAAGTATGCTTTCTAGGAATCAAATACCAATGTTTATTTTAATTATAAAATTATCCTACTAAAACAAAAATATTGATTGTAAAGATTTGATCATTGACTAACAATAGTTAAAGATAATATATGCAATATTTAAATAAAATATTTTGGATTGATGAATGTAGATTTTCTATCTTTTCTAATAAAACTCTTATTTGTACTGTGATTTAGAGCATATGCATCCATATATCTCTATCGAGCTTGTAGGGGTGAAAATGATATCTGCTGTCCTCCTACAATTATAACATCTCTATAAGAACCTAGCACATTTTATATCCTATGTCTAGGTATGCAAACATATTATTTCAATATTTCTTGTTGTTCTTGCATTCCTCAGTCGATGCTATACATCACACTAGATTTTAACTATCTATATGGTCAGTATGTGTATTAAATAAAGAGAAAAAAATTTAAAAACATCATTTAACTTTAGCTTATAAAAATTTTCATTAGTACTTAATAGGTTCTCTACACCATCAATCTAAAACTAAAGAATTAACAAGACATACAAGAAAAGATAAGTAAACTCATTTTTATTGAAATCATGGAAGAATATAAATACAAGAGAATGATATCACCCATGAATGATTAATGTATCTTCCTACACTTCTTCCTTAACATATAGAGTTGGTTACACAAATACTGATTAAATACTCTAATGATTGTATCAAGCACTCCTCTAGTCTCCCTCAGAATTGACTCTAAGACAGATCTTAAGAAGTACTCTAAAAGGTATTGAAATTAGACAAGTGGATGAACTCCCCTACAAACATAACACAATGACTATTTATATGAAAACACAAATTAGGCAACTGACGCTGCATCGCTTGAAAGATTGGCACCATAGCGCCCATAAAATGAACTAACGCCGCTATGCTGATATTTTTGCTCAGCCTCAGTGCTTGCTGATGTGGATCAGTTACTTACTGAACAATCGCATCGCTTCGTTGGCAGATTGTGTCCTTTGAAAATTATAACTGCTACGCCGCGACGCTAATGAATTTCGAACGCCACGGCGCCCGAGTGGCAATTTTGGTGCCAAGGTGTGATTGGTTGTCACACCACGACCCTTAACCATTTTGACATCACGACGCTATCAAATAGAGAAGTCTACGCTGCCATGTCAATATTGTGGCGCTCCGACGGTATTCTTGATGGCGCTCGACACTGATTCGTCCGATGCCGTAGCGCTGGATGATACTTAAAATTTTGTGCCCTTTTTGTATTTTTCCTGCAATTAAAACAACAAATTTTCACCAAAAATATAACACATAAAATAATAAATTATTTACACTTATCATCTATGAAGACAATTTGACTTGCTATAGATGGATAAGTTAGAACCTGTAGCAGTATGTCTCTAGAGTTTAGGCTTTATCAAGTTGGATGAAAGTAAACAAATCCACATTGGTTGCAAATGTCTTGCAAACTCTCACACTTAGGTTTTTGCCCCATCACTACTGCTATTTAGGAAACAAAAGATTGAAATATTCTGACAATTGATGAGTTGTAAGGCTCACTAGGCTTATGAGCAAATACTCAATGAGAAGTCAGAAGAAAAACCATTAGACAAGGCCTTTAATACCAAGTTTCTCTAAATGGTGAACAAAAGTAAAATGTTGGATAATAATCTTCTAGTGTATCAGTATCATGGTTTGTGGGGATGACTAGATTGTGGTTGTGCTAGAGTTTTTTTAAGAGGTAGAGGAAGATCAAACAATTAAACATAAAATTTTAGTGAAGGTAGAGGATCATACATAGGTTTAAGTTGAAATGGAAGAGGAAGCCATGATAAATCTAATGTTCATTTCCATGAATGCAATAAGTATTACTATTATGCTAGTGAGTCTAGGTCAAAGAATTATAATTAATATACAAAAGAGAATCAATTTGTCCGATAAGATGATAAATGGACCACACTCTCCTGATGGTATTTTAACACAGAGGTATCATTTTTAATCTCCTTCGACAAGCAACCTTATGTTCAAAATAAATATTAAGAATAATGTCATTATCTAAATGCAATAATGAATCTCAAATCATGGTTGTGGCATTTTGGATGGTCATTTAAATTTTGGAAGTTTAAAATTTCTTACTCAAAATAGTATGATAAAGGATTTACCAATTGGAAAGCATCAAAATTATTTGTCTGAAGACTGTCTTGTTGGAAAACAGCATTGATGATCATTCTTTAATAAAATACTTGGAAAGCAAATAGGCCTCCTAAACTTGTGTGCTCAAATGTGTGAGGACCAATGTGCGATACTTCATTTGAAGGAAGTAGGGCTGCAAATGAACGGAGCGTTCGACGAGCTGCTTGTGGCTCGGTTCGATAAGGGCTTATTTATATTCGTTTGATAAGGTAAGAGAACAAGCTTGAACTTTGACAATATTTGATAGCTAAATATACAAGTTTGAACACCTTGATGTTCGGCTTGTTTATGTTCACGAACAAGATCGCTTAGAGCTCGTGAACATGCTCGTTAAGAAACTCGATTAAAAAGCTCGATTGTGTCTTATTTAATTAAAAAAATATTTAACTATTAACTAAAAAGATATTTAATATTTATGACTAAGCTCGTTTATATTACTGCTTAACTAATAATATATTTAACATTATTAATTATTATAATTGCCTGAGGCTAAAGCTATTCCAGAGGTCAGCCACCTCTTGCTGCATAAAATGATCTTGAAATCCCAATTCAAAGGGTTCTTCAAGCTCTGCTACCACCCTCTAGGATAAGGTATAATGAGGTAATATCTTATTTGATATTGATGGAAATTTGCTTCTTTATACCATGTTTTCATATTGTGATACGATCTGCTTTGGAGAAAAAATTGAAAGATGAAAGGTGGATAAATGATATTATGCAATGAAGGAGGATAGATAGGTGGGGGGGTGCAGCGCAAGATGGTTCACTTGTCCCCCCTAAAAAAAATGCACTTATTTAGGAGGATAGACAGCTTAGCAACAAGAAAGGAGGTTTTAAGTGAAGCTGATGCCACCTTCCAAAATCTTCCAAGGATAGTTACAGGAAGATAAGAGAGTGATGGAAAATGCCGATCATAAAGCAAGTGCATGTAAAGCACACCAGGAGATGTTGATCCTAACATGCAATACAAAGAAGGAGAAAGCTTGAATATTTGATTTTTTCCGTTTCTAATGTAATATAAATGTTTTAAATCTTTATAATCTAATTCAAACATTAGAAATATGGTTGGTATTAAGCAAACCTACTATGGGCTACCCTCTTCCTTATTTCAGTTGGTCACTCACATTATTTGTATTACTGCATGATGTTATCACTTGTATAAACTGTTTTAATTTTTGAATTCTTCCTTTTAAAGTTTTTTTTTCCTTCTCAATTGATCCATAAGTCGAAACTATTTATTGTGCATATCCAATGTTATTAATCTTCACCTACATGAATTTATCCTATTTTATTTTTGCTTTATGTAGGTTTTGACAGTGTCGGAGGACAAAACTATGAAAGTGTGGGACATCATGGATGATGGAAATGGTAAACTGAAATGCACACTTGCTTTCCCTAGTTCTGGTGGAGTGGATGACATGCAAGTTCACTACCTATGGCATGGTGACCATCTTGTCACTGTTTCTCTTAACATCAATGGTTCGTTTTCCTCTTTGCTCATCTCTTACGACTCGCGACTCACGACTCATAATTTCGAGCACGGCTTTTGCTCCTCTCGCCCCCGAACGAAGACCGCCTGTGGTAGATGTTTATGAGACGACAAACGGAACTATTTTAATGCATTCTAACCTTCCAGATGAGATGAACAAACATAACTATTTTAATTTGTGTGGTATTAGAGACAAAGGTTCTTAGGAAATATGAATCCTAATAAAATAGTCATTAGGATGATCAATTTGATTTAGTAGAGCTGAGTATATTGCATTAAAATTCTTATTAGATGTTATGGTTTATATTTTCTTAGGTATATGTGTGATCTAGAGGGAGTTGAAATTTCACAAAATATTGCAGTTGTTCATGCAAATACTCTAACACAAATGATGACAGCTATGATACAAATAATATAGGATTCACGATCTCTGCCTAGTGGAAGTAATATCAACAACATTTCAATGGATAAATATTTGAAGTTATTTCAAGGCATGTGGTTGCAACTATTTAAGGGAGATGAAGGTTGGTTGAAGTTGAAAACTAGTTATTATGCATAGAAAAAAATATGAAATGACATTTTTACCTAAAGAGAGGAAGATATTATTAGCAAATTCTCTTTAAATGGTGAATAAGAGAGATAATGGAGAGGACAATATAAAGATTAATTTGGACTTCATCCCACTACACAAATATTAAATGCAAAGGTGGAGTTGTTCAAAGATTAATTTGTGCTTTTCTTATGAGGAGGTAAATGCAAGACAAATTTATGAGTCTGATGCAATTAGAGAGGCTTGCAATGTAATATGAGATATAATTTACTATTTTGTCGAGGCATGCACCGCAGTTTGTCCACACCGTAAAAGAAAAGTGTGGAATATTCTTATTAGGAGTAAAATTTGCAGTTAGACAACCTCTATTCCTCTTAAGAATTTATGATTATTCAATTCTAGTGGAGAAGACCAAGAGAGTAAAGTTGGATTGCATGCCACTATGAGGAAACACAATACTCAGAAGAGAAAAAATGTAGGAGCAATGAAAGTTCACAATACTATCAGTTTAGACAATTTTCCCAGTCTTGAAAATCTACTTGGAAGAAGATAAAAGCTCAAACAACGGTGGTTGTCAAACAAGCATAAGTAGCTATGAAAAATATGACAAGTATCATAAGGATAAATATATCTTTAGAATCAATACTTTTTTTCTGATATCGTTAAGAACTGTCTTACATTTGGACGAAGGCTCTCAGAGGAAGAATGAGCAAGTGCTACACCATCATAAGAAAAAACTGTTAACAAGTAGAGAAGAAAGTATATGGTATTATCTTTTTGTCTTCTCTTATACCCTTGTAGGCACAATATTTTTTTAAAATAAACTTATTCGATACTGGAGCCATACAATCATTCAACTCTGAGTTGAGCAAATTAATAATAATAATAATAAAAAGAATCACATATGATTGCACTTAAGCACATTTTAAAATATTTGATAGGTATACTTTCTTATTGCTTCTAATGCAGCTTTCTATCACAAAATTTAATTTTTTGTGCTAAAAAGTTGATTTTAGTAAGAAAAATGTCCCAAACGAAGCATAAATAAAATAGCTTTAGTCGAAATTAATATTCAGATTGTATTGTATTATGTGTCACATTATATGACATGCTATAATTTGCATTAATTGTGTTATTTTAAATTCTAAATTAATTATATTGTATAATGCCTATCATATTATATAAAATATTTTTTAATTTAATTTAATGAATCATATGTTTAAAATTAAATAACATTTATAATTAAATTTTGATTTAATTGTATTGTATGTTGGTGATCATATAATACAATGAGCTAATATATAGTTTGATTTTGCATTTTGAATCAACATTAATATGGTATTTTTTTAAATGATTATTGACATTATAATATTATATATGTGGCTTTCAACCCTAACAGAATAATTACGACATTTATAAATCTTAAGAGAGAATTCTAGAGGTAAAATTAATTTTTACATGAAGTCATCTTCCTACTACAAAATCTAGGATTATCTAGTTTGAATGTTTGGCTTTTAAGAGATTTGCTTGATATTTTTCATTAATTATTGCACTGTTTATTTACTTTAATTCATTACTTATTATAATCCATTCTTCATATTATTGGTTAATATTACGAAATCTTGATTGCATACAGCAATTAAATAAAGATGAATTTTTTGAGAAAAGGATAAAATCTATTATTTATGTGGAAAGCCTACTGAAAAGTATTTGATATTTTTTTATTTTATTTTGAGAAAGAGTTTTATGAACAATACAATTCAAATTTGTAAAATCATTCAATTTATTTTATAACTCATATTTAGCTATTACTTGTACTTGTTTAAATATTAGAATATTTCTTATATCATAAGAAGAAAAAAAAATATTGAATATCTATTTTGTTTGGCATATATAATAATTGATCTGAAGGAAATTTCTAATATTCAAGCAAAGCAAGGTTAGAATGCTCCAAAGGATATAACCTCCTAAAAATTAAAGGTTTAATTCTGTGAAGGACTTCATCAACTTAGGACAAACAACTTAGTAAGGAGGAAGGAGGAAGGTGGGAAGCATTTCCATGATAGTCTCATCTCCCAAGTTTATTAGTGGCCCCTTCGAGCAGTAGTCAGAAGGTTTAATTCTGTGAAGCCCTTTAAAATTTTAAGATTTTTTTTTGTTGACATAGAGAAGAAGTCCAAATTATAAACCGTCTTCACGAGAATATTTATAATGTTGTGTTATAGCTTACCTAATCTTTTCATAATTTTTGGACACTATCAAAATTTCTTAAGAAATCAGCACCTATTGGGATTTTGGGACCATCAGATGTTTGTTTTGTAAATCAATTTCATCATAATTTTTTAAATAAAATTTTTTGATTTATGAATATTTTTTTTTTGTAATTGTTGGAATCCTTAAAATTTTTTTTATGAATTTTCTACTGAAAATTTATTATAGCAATATTATTTTATATTATTTAATTATAAAAGATAAATATCTAAAAGCACTTATCTATTATTAAAATTCATTTTTCTATGCCATTTTCGGATTTGCCAAACAGAGTGCTTCTTAGGGCATTTAAGGGAGAAAGAGAGGAGAGAGGAGTAGGATCGGGTTTTTGGTGACTTCAGGCCATTTTCATCCATCTATGTAGTTGGGAAAGTTATTTGTCTTGAGATAAGGCACATTTTGCTCATCCCAATTTTTAAAAATGTGTAAGTTTTAGCGTTAATTCTGATCAAAATTTTGCATCCGTTAGCAAAAAAAAGGGGATAATTTTGTACCAGTAAAGCTTTCATCGCGTAACTTTTTATGTGTTGTAGAAATTACGATTATGCATATTTTTAATATTTTTTTAAAATTTTTTACTCTGGTTTTGAAATTTGAGAGATTTTTATTAAATAAAAAATTATTGAGATATTAAAAAATAGTGTTGTAGTACAATAAAAGCATTAAAACATTGTTTACACAATCCTTGATAATTTGGTAATTTTTTGAAAATGTGCACTTTTGCTTAGTTAAATTTTATGTTGTCTACAGTTATACTATGTAATTTTGATATATGCTCAATTTCTCTTTAATTGTTATAATATTATGATATATGTGCATATATGATTATATTATATATGTTGGGAGCTATAAGAAGCTAAAATTCTTTGAGATTATGTCAGTATCAGAAAATTTCTAGGAGTTATATGGGGTCAGATTCTTTTGAGATTCTGTTTGAGATAGAGATATCTGATATGTTCTTGTGCTATAAGCACAAATAAAAAGGGGAGTCATAAGCGACCAGAATCATTTAAGATTATGTTTGGGTCTAGGAAATATGATATGAACTACTCTATGATTTGAATTTCAATTTATTCATTTATTATGTACTATTATTTGAATCATAGAATAATTGCTATGCATTTATTACATTTCTCAATTTTATGATTCTCAGTTTAGTGATTTATTTAAACTGCAATTAACTGCTTTTAAATATTTAGCAAAATATTTGAAAAAAAAAATATTTGAAAATTTAGATTGATTTGTGTGGCTTGCTGAGCTTCCGATGACCCGGTTAGGAGAGTAGAGGTATTAGATTTGACTTATGTTAAGAAAGGTAGGGGTAGTTCTAAAAAGACTTGGTTAGAAAATATTAGGAATGACCTTTCTTTATTAGATTTAAATGAGAATTTGACTTTTAATAGTACACAATAGAGAAAAAAGATTCATGTAGCTGGCCCCACGTAGTGGGATAAAGGCTTGATGTTGTTGTTGTATGGTTAATTTAATTTTTAGTTCTGTAGCTCTTGCTTGTAGCCATGTACTGTAGTGTATATATTTATTTTGATGAATAAAAGAAACTTTATGGATGAGTTTTTTAGTATTTGAATATTTTAGTATCTCTGTAGTTTATCATTTATTTCAATGAATATTGGCAAAAAATTTGAAATAATTCTAAAACTAGATATTGAGATTTGCCTGTCACAACTCAACACGATAGGATCTATCCTGCTCGGGTTGGGTTGTGACAAATTCAATCCCTCAATTGGTGGCTTTAGTAAGTATGATATGTTGGCAAAGTTCATCCAACTACAAGCTTGTCTCTAATTTCTCAAGCCATGCCTTGAACTACTCCATGGTTAGGTGCATGATCTTATAATAACTTATGAACTGTCGCTTAATCATCTCTCATAGCTTATCAATGTGTGGTTATCTCTTATATGTTCAAATGATTTGTTTTTGTTATCAACTTGCCCAATAAAGAGGTAGGGAAAGGCACTAAGGGCCTCCAAAAAATCAACTTCTATACACTTAGCCACACATCGGTCAAGGTACAAGGTAATGCTCGATGATTTTCAACGTAATTGGCGCAATCAAGATGGTAGGTTTATGTATATTGAAGATAAGGAATTGGTTAGCCACATGACAATGCTTCGTAGAAACTTATTCTATGCATGAAATTTTAGGACATTCACTTTAAGCTGCTTACTTTCTTTAGAGCAATACACATTTATCTAACTACGCTTGTCCTAGAGCTTCTCCTCCCTCATCCAACTAATCTCATATAATCCTTTAAACCACTTCCCAAAATATTCTCCCATGTTAGAATGATATTGGTCAAGCTCATGTGGGATCCAATGTGAGGTCTATCAAGCCTCCCTCACTTGTAACATCACCAATCACCTCCATTATGATCAGAACCTTTGATGTAGTTGACCAGGAGGAAAAAGGAATTCTTTCTCTTACAAGCCCATTGCTCTTAGTTCGTTGAGATCATCTCCTCAACCTTCTTAGCAGC